AAGCTAATTTCCAGATGGGAGGGGCCGTACGTGGTCACAAATATAATAAATGACTGCAATGCAAGGATAGAAAGGGCGGACAACCCCGATAAAAAACTGATAGTTCACATAGACCGACTAGCAAGATGTCCAGACGAGGCCGACGACAACAACAACAACATCGCCAGCGCTTGGTTGTTGTTTACGGAATGAGCGCAACCATCTTAGCACTCGAAAACTCGAACTCGATCATCGAGCGGCGCGAGAAATTCAAATCGGGACCGATTGCTAGGGTAGCGGGTACCGGTTGCTAAGCAATCGGGTAGGTTGCTAGGCAATCGGGTAGGTCGCTAGGCAACGGGTAGGCTTAAAGAAAACAAAAGAAAGCTACTGACGCCGACTTTAGCCTAACGGTTATTCCCCTCAGATCCACCAGGGACGACGGACGCAAATCCACACAAGTTATCCGTAGCCATCTCAGTGAATTCTCAAATATTTTGGGATATTTTGGAAAAAATGGAAGAAATACCCTCCAAGAAAGCAACTTTTAAAGGATTGCGAGTCACAACCCCGAAAATGGAAGAATCCAGAAAAATAGTGGAAGCTACGAGGCCGCTCAAGGGGATAACCGAGACCAAGCCAGCGGATCAAACTAAGCTGAATCTAGTGTTGGAAAGGGTCAAAAGATCCCTAGAAGATGATAAAGTGACCATGGAAGCCAAAAGGGCTAAAATAATGACGCCGGAGGGTGACCCCAATGTCAAGAGGAAGGCGAAAGCCTCAGCCTTAAGGAGAGCTGCAGCCCGGATGACTCAGAAGGTAAGCAAAAGTGCCCAAGTGAGAGTCTTCTAAATGAAAAGGGGGAAGGAAAGATACCAAAATTGGTAAATCTGTTACAGAATTTGCCAAGAAAAATGCCACAGGAAATTGTGGCCTTCCCCGTGGGTCAGGCAGGCCCATCCAGCCAGGGGTCATTCCCCAACTCCACCATGGAGACTTGTGTGTTCGCCAGTCACATCCGAAAAATGGTAGTGGAGAAAGGAAACCTGGCTTTCCCTAGGGAAGAGCCAGGTTCCCTAATGTGTTACCCCATCACATGCAGAAAAATGGTGGAAAACCCAGAGCCCATTTTGGAAGAGGAGTGGATCTCACACCACCCCATGTCAGCCGGGGAATACATGATGCTACCCAGCACATCCAAATTCAGGCAAGATCGAGAAAAAGACCTGGACTTCTTTCCCCCAGAAAGAAGACAGTACTTTGCAGCTCAAGAACTGCCACCGCTAGTGACAAGAGAATTTTTGTCTAGTGACAGTGAGAGTGAGAGTGAACATGAAAGTGCAGAGAATAAAGAAGAAAGTGCGTGTGAAATAGCCAAAAGACTGGTGGAAGAGATGAAGTTAACAGACTCAGAAACAGAAGACAAACCAGAAGAAAGCACGAATAAGAGCAGCGAAATGGAAACAGAAGTTGACAAATTAGAAGCAGAGATAAACAGAGTTGATGTGGAGATGGAGGAGAGTGAGATCCAAGAAGAAATGATAGCAGAATTTGAGGAAATAGACAGAAAAATGGAGGAGGAGAAGATAGCTATCCAAGAATTAGAAGAGAAGTTAAAGAAAGCCAGGGAACACAAGAACGCAGAAATCGTTTGTGGTGGTTTGAATTTAAACATGCCATGGAAACTTGTGCCACTCACCTTGGAAAAACCCACGGGCAGACAGGAATGGTTGGACGATATCATCCGTCAGCGAGAAATAGAGAAGGGAGAACTGAAGGTTCACCCTAATGATCCACGAAAGAAAGTAAGATGCAGAAAGTGCAACAAAAGATATCATAAGGCCAGTGAGTGCAACAAGAAATGAGCTTCAATGTATT